ACCTAATGTCTATGAAATCTAGATGATCTCCTGAGGTCCTTTCCAGCCCTATTTTCCTATAATTCTATAATTAAGTTCCAGTGTTTCTATCTTCATCCAACAACCCTCTTTTAAAAAGATCTTTTCTAAACACAGTATATTTCCTCAATGTACACTTTGTTATGCACATGGTATAGCAGTGTAAAGTCCAATGCTATTTATCATGTTCTAAGCTCTTATCTCCTAGCTCTTTGTGCCTGATCATAAATCAAACTTGGATTGTAAAACTATGCAATTTAAGTCCTACCTAGCTCCTCAGTCTCAACAACCTGAACAGTACTATACTGGGTGAAAGTGGTGATAATATGCACTAGAAATTGAAAGTGAATGATCCTGAAAAATATAAGTTCTTTCAGTGTTTGATAAAGGAATAACTTCATACAGTGTATTTATGTAATTGAAGTAATAATTTCCTAAATAATTGTTGTAACTGCAGTTGCAAAAATCAGATTTTTAAAAAGTCTTTGCTTGAATATTTAAAGAGACACTATTAGGTTTAAATTTAACTGAAATACTTATTTTATTTATTGATGGTATTACTAGTATTACAACAAAATGTTGTTTGTAAATGTCACTTATTTGTTTTCATTTATGCTGTTGCATCATCTTTTAGGTTGTGAAAATTTGTTTACTTCCTAGTTCAAGGCCCAAACACGGTGACATCACTATATCTGAGGACAACTGGATACCTCTGGGCATACCACAAAACGAAGGAACAGTGCACCTGGTAGTTGAACCGTTGCTATAGAAGCCATTCCATTCACGAAACATACTAAAGATAAGATCTTCATGTACTGAATTCTGAACAGTACTTGTTGTCTTTCTTTGCCAGAGATCTGAGTATAAATATCTAGTTTATTTGAAAAGGAATATCTTGCATTTTAATCTTGTTACTTTTCATTTGCAAACGCCGAATAGCAGCAAAATTCATTGACAGGCATCAGATGGGATGCAGTTATAAATATAGAAATACTGTGCTGCTGTTGCCATAGGAATAGCTGGAGCTCATAACAATTTATTGGGATGTGGAGAGACTTTTTAGCCCATGGAACCGTCTTGTTCTGATAGATTAACTTTTTCCTTATCCCAGCTTTTAAACATAGAACTACAAAACTACTCTTCTAGAGTGGTTATTCCCTATGATAGGCATATCTCCAGCCAAAGGCACCTATACATATGCATTGGGACTGCTCTGACATCCTGTAATTACAGCACACCGGAGCAGACTCAATTTAATCAAGGCTCCTGGAGTATAGTAATTACTGCACTCCAGCATCATGTGTATCAGTATCCCCAATGCTGAAAAAATGGCAGTGGGGGTGCTTTAACTACCACTTATTCAATGAGCTTTAGTTAAAGTGACCCCGCCACCTTTTTTCAGCATAGGGATGCTGATACATAAGATATAGAACTGCTCTAATCTAAGCGCCCTCCCCTCTGCC